GTAATGCATTATTATTATTCTTAGATAATGCGTCATGGAGGTGCTTAGGCCCTAGAACAATAACTTCAGTTTTATCTGAGTTTAACATTAGAAAATTACAGGTCATCCAGGTTTTAACATCCTGAAGGCACATTTGAAGTTTAGCTAACTGATGAGTTTCATCTGGCTTGATCGATAGATATAACTGAGTATCATCTGTATAACAATGAAGGTTTATGGAATGTTTCCTGATAATATTGCCTAAAGGAAGCATATATAAAGTGAAGAGGATTGGTCCGAGGACAGATCCTTGTGGAACTCCATGACTAACTTTGGCATGCATGGAGGACTCATCGTTAACATGTACAAACTGAAATCGATCTGATAAATAGGACTTAAACCAGCTTAGAGCGATTCCTTTAATGCCAATGAAATATTCCAGTCTCTGCAATATGATCTGATGGTCAATGGTATCAAATGCAGCACTAAGATCTAATAAAACCAGTACAGAGACAAGTCCTTTGTCTGATGCAATAAGGAGGTCGTTAGTAATTTTCACCAGTGCTGTCTCTGTGCTATGATAAACTGTAAATCCTGACTGAAAATCCTTAAATAAACTATTGCTATGTAGAAAGTCACACAGCTGTTTAGCAACTGCTTTCTCCAGGACCTTAGAGAGAAATGGAAGGTTAGATATAGGTCTATAGTTGGCTAAAGGTTGGACTTTTTCAAAAGAGGTTTAATTACCGATACTTTAAAGTACTGTGGTACATAGCCTGTTGATAAAGACAGATATATCATATCTAGAAGTGCTGACTAAGGGTAAAACTTCTTTAAGCAGCCTAGTCGGGATGGGGTCTCAGAGGCAGGTTGATGGTTTAGATGAAGAAATTGTTGAAGTTAGTTGGTAAAGACAGCTGTTTCTAAGGTTCCTGAGTTTGGAGATAAGTCGGTGCCAGTTGAGGGCAGGTCTTGGTGAATTTTGTTTCTAATAGTTAGAATTTTATCATTAAAGAAGCTCATGAAGTCGTAACTACTGAGAGCTATGGGAATACTTGGCTCAATAGAGCTGTGACTCTCTGTCAGCCTGGCTACAGTGCTGAAAAGAAACCTGGGGTTGTTCCTATTTTCCTCTATTAATGACGAGTAGTACGCTGCTCTAGCATTACGGAGGGCCTTCCTATAAGTTTTAAGACTATCTTGCCAAATGAAACGAGAATTTTCCAGTTTGGTGGAACGCCAATTCCTCTCAAGTTTCCACGATATTTGCTTTAATTTGCGAGTTTCAGTATTATACCATGGAGCTAACCATCTTTGTTTTATTATTTTCTTTTTTAGAGGGGCTACAGAGTCGAGTGTCATTTGCAGCGAGCCTGCAGCACTATCAACAAGATGATCGATTTGGGAGGGACTGAAATTAGCATAGGAGTGCCAAAACTTTGTGACTTCATAATGAATTTAGAGCTGATGCAATCGCATCCTTAAATTCAGTAAAATTAGATAGCCTACTTGTAGCAAATCGCCTCCATGCATATTATGTTTCATAGCAACCAGAGCATCTCAGCTGAAAAAAACGCTGTACCTCCAAAGCACACCCTAGTGCTCCCAGCTAGGCGTTCTCAGAACAGCAGGTGGTATTTACAGCTGCTAAAAAACGCTTGTCCGAGAGGGCCTTAACCCTCTTGGACATGGAGTTCACCAGAGTGTCACAGGTTGACACTGGAGTGCTCAATAGGGTTTAGGTCTGGAGACATGCTTGGCCAGTCCATCACCTTTACCCTCAGCTTCTTCATGCTCTGCTTCAGTATGTCACAGTACATGTTGACATTCATGGTTCCCTCAATCAACTGTAGCTAACCCAGTGCCGGCAGCACTCATGCAGTCCTAGACCACGACACTCCCACCACCATGCTTGACTGTTGGCAAAACACACATCTTTGTACTCCTCACCTCGTTGCTGCCACACACGCTTGACATCATCTGAACAAAATAAATTTATCTTGGTCTCATCAGACCAACTTCTTTGGTCGACCATGGCGAGGTCCGTTCTGAGTCTCACCTCATGGCAAAGAGTTCTTTGCCATGAGGTGGTGTGAGAGCGATAACACCAAATTTAACACACCTTCTCCCCATTCACACCTGAGACCTTGTAACACTAAGAAGTCACATGACACCGGGAAGGGTAAATGGCAAATTGGACCCAATTTGGACATTTTCACTTAGGGGTGTACTCACTTTTGTTGCCAGCGGTTTAAACATTAATGATTGCGTGATTATTGTGTTATTTTGAGGGGACAGCAAATTTAAACAAATTTGATAACTTGCTTTTATACTTGAAGTAAATTTCATGAATTCTCAGCACTTTGAGAAGCTTGAAGAACAGGCCCAGTTCACATTTTATGTGTGTACAATTTATGCAGAAATCCAGGTAATTCCAAAGGGTTCACATACAACCAGAAGGCAGCATCTTAAATTCTGCATGAAGGGGGTAAGAACTATCAGACATGATGGATTCTGCCTTTTTAAGCACATGTCTATTGTACAGTTCAGTTAGCTTTATCTGCTGAATCCCGATGACTTTGCTGCTAATTTTATTTACCATTGCTAATGTGTTCCATTTTAAACTAAGAGAAGCATACAAGCAAATACATGAAAAAGTAAAGACGAACTCAAAAGATTTATTAAACAATGATATATGATACAATGATTTTCTATGTAAGGCATGACTTCCATTGTTCCCCAAAAAAGAAAAAGAAAGAAAATCAGTAAGCAAAAACATCCCATGGTATTAATTAAAGTAATCCATCATGTTTACTTGTACAACACAATAATTGCAGTCATACTAAAGTAATTCATTTTAGCTAGAATTGAATGCGAAGTGATCTCTGCCTCCAGAAAATAAATCAGTAACATTGTGCAGTAATGAAGAAGGGGAAATAGTCCCATTAAAGGTGATAATTAGCTGTGTAATGAAGTCATGACATGAAGAAACTGCAATGCGTCTGCTGTTCAACATGATGAATTATGTTTGTCACGGCAGCAGTATATCTCTGAGCAGGCTTTAATGGCTTTTTTTTTTTTTAAACAGTGGAAGCCTGAGAGTACAGGCATGTAAACCTGCAGCAGAACACCCAACTTTGGTCCTTATAAACAGGATTTTTAACATGAACTATCCTAGAAATCTAAGTGCTGATGTGCAGGTAAACATCAATGCCTGTCACACAGAGCATGGTTGGGAGCACTTTATAAACATCTCACATTATCATCTCCGAATAAAATGATTAGCTAAGTATATAAAAGGAAAATATGCCCTTTATCCCTTGGGCAGTCATAAAGTCTGGGCAATGAATTGGTGACACTTTTGACTCAAAGGCCAAGGTCACTGTGACCTCAAAATGACCTTGACAAACATTTTTTAACCATAACTCAAGAATTGATGCTGTAGGTCAAAAATGGACACAGACATTTAATGGAATACTACGATGAAGTGATGAAATTTTTTACCCAAACAGTCAGCTTCACTGTGACACCATTTTAGCCATTATTCAGTTCTATTATTCAGTTTTATTTATATAATAGCCGATTCATAACAGAATCTCTTATCTCAATGCACTTTTCATAAAGGGCAGGTGTAGACCATACACTGTGTAATATTACAAACCATCAGCGAGAGAGAGGGGGGGGGGGGGGGACACACACAGCAGCACAGTGCAAGATCCACATAGAGATGTAAAACATTAGTACTGGTAGTGGTAATAATATAAACCTCAATAAATGTAATAATAGTAATAATGATTGCAGTAATAATGATAATAAATAAAAGGACTAATAATAAATATAGCTGCAAGTGGCAATGATCGGGGTCCCAGCAGACTTTGAAAAATGCAAAATACACAGAGCAGATGAAAGATCAAGCGGTTTTTAAGATTACATTTTTGTGACATTTGAACACCGAGCAAACATGACAATGTTGTGCATACTGTACAAACTACAGCAATATATTGAATACCTGCTGATTCATGGTTTGACCGATCCTAAAACCTTTTGATATACTTGATAACTGTCATCTAGAGAATGTCAATTTAGGTAGCATTAGAACTGGTGGAGATCCATCCATCCATCGTCAACCGCTTATCCTGCATACAGGGTCGCGGGGGGCTGGAGCCAATCCCAGCTTACATTGGCCGAATGGCGGCGTACACCCTGGACAGGTCGCCAGTCCATCACAGGGCCACACACTGGTGGAGATATCGATGTTAATTTAGCATATTTTTAAAACTATAGAGTGACATACTTCTGAACTGACCGTAATAATAATATATATAATGCACGATGATTCACAGGGACCTCTCCCACCTGCAAATGAGTTCAAAGCAAGGACTTTGAGCGTGATCATGGAGGGGACTGTCGCTGTTCAAAACACTAGAAAACCTCAATAAACCGTCCAAATCTTCATGTTGTCTGTCTGATTTGTGCCACGGTCGGTTTAAATGTGTTCTTACTTTCATATTGAGGTTTATTGAGGTTTTCTAGTGTTTTGAACAGCGACAGTCCCATAGCAAAAATTTATATTTGAGATTTTGAGAGAGATTTTATTTCTCAAATATAATTTTCAAAATTTTTATTTTATATTTTTTTATGTTCTATGAGAAAATACTTTCTCTCAAAACTTTTTTTAGTCTCAAATATTATTATTTTTTGCTATTGGTATGAAAACTTTTTCTCTCATGAAATGCTTTTTTGCTATCAGTATGATAACTTTTTCTCTCAAACTTTTTTTTTTCTCTCAGATCATTTATTTTCTCGCATGTAATAAAGACACAATTCTAGCTCCATACACCTTGAGGTCACCTGCCAATACTGAAGTAATTTGGTCCTACAGTTTTTGCGGCATGAACAGATTTAGCAGGGAGGAAGATGTGGTCAGACACTGAATAGGTGACACTTTTGACTCAAAAGGTCATTGTGACCTCAAAATAGCTTTTTACACATAATTTAAGAATGAATTGGGCAATTCCAGATTTAATTTAATTTCATGTTTATTTTACGGGCACATAGAGAACATATAGCGCACCTAGCCAATAGTGATCGAGAGAGTTTCACCTACAGCTCATAGGGAGGCTTTGTCTCTAAAAATGGAGAACCAGGAAAAAACAAAAGCACCACATGTTGTGTAGCTACACACTATAAGAATCCACCTTTACATAGTAAGCAAGTACATCTGTACCTATTTAACCAATACATTTATGATAATCCTTCATTAATCAGTTCAGCAATGTATATTCACTGGAATCATACATGTAGTAAGTTCTGACCTGCTGTGTGGGGCTCATGTGCGGGACATAGGTCTGTGAAGGCTAATCACACTGATAGTTTTGGATAAAAATCAATTAAAGCCAACATAAGAATATCTGACTATGTCCATTTTTAGGTTTCTACATACACATTTACTGAAGCAAACTTTCTGGAGATGATCATAAAACTATAAAATGAAATGGTGGGAAGCCATTTGACCAACTACTCTAACAGAACAGATCACTGCCTCCCTCTGCTGGCAAGGGCTACAAATTACCCATCATCCATGAGTAGGGACCTATGGTAGGGACCATTTGAAACAGCCAGGCATAACATTTTTTCTTTTCCCTATGGTCTCCATTATCTGGAATAGTTTTGCGGCCCACCAAGAATTGGATGTTTGTTTTCTGATTAGCGGGAAGACTGAAAATGATGAATGCCACGTTATTATTTATCATCTGACAGATGTTTTGTTAGACTTTGTCCCAATTTCTGAAAAATGTATGTATAATATATACAACAGACCTGTTACAAGGTGGTAAGATCTTGGGATGGCCCCTGTTGCTATTGGTTCTGCAGTGTTGTTACTGGTTCACATCACCCTGATCAATGCCATCTGGAAAAACCTAGGCTCCATGTTTCCAGCTACTCTTTCCCCCACATGCACCCATTTGGTTATGCGGTGGTGTCAGTCCTCTTTGTTTTCCTTTCTTTTATTACAAAGAATAGATAACCTTACAGTCATACCCTCATGCACACAATTCAGAGCTGTTTTGCAAGTTGCAAGTAAATCCCTATGCTCAATAACTTGTGCCCAACAATCTATCTCCCATTTGCATATGTTTTTTAGTATGTCGATAACAGACTCAGGAGACAGAATCTGTACTGCTAGAAATGGTGGTGGTGGCAGTAGTTATGGTGGTAGCAGTAGCTGTAGTCAGGTCTAGCCTAAGCTGACCAATGTGCTGTACAAAAAAGAACATTAAAATATTAAGTACAAAGTAAGGACCACAAAGTGAAACATACCAGGAACAACAATAAACAACAAAGAACAATATACAGAGTTGTAGGCATAACAACCAATTAATAACAATAGTACTAACAGAAGTAATAATAGTACTAATAGTTGTGGAATGATTTGTAGTACTAATACTTGCCCTATTATTATTAGCAATATTGTTTTTTTATACAGACACAGTAGTAGTAGTGCTAGCAGTTGTAAAAACAGTAAGCCTACTACTGACATAAGTAGCTGTGCTAATGCAACAGTGAAAATGGTCATTTTAGGACTAGCAACACTAGTAGAAGTGCGAGCTACAGGGAACATGGGTAGTAATTTAATTGTAAAGCTAACAGCGGACTTTTAAAGATTTATCAGTACCGTTCGTTAGGAATAGGGCTATGGATACAAGCAGCCGTTCATTTTGCTCTCAGTAGCAGCAGTATGGAGAAAGCAGTAATGGCTAGTAGCAGAAGTAGACTGTGACAGGGATAGTGACGGGTTTATATATTAGTATAATAATTATAGTACATTTGTAGTAGCCGGATAGAATGTACACGCTTCTTGTTACATGGTATGTATCCTCGTTATCTATATCCGTTCCAATGCGCATGCGCGTACGGCGGTTCGCGGTTGCGCCAACTGGTAGAGGATGTTGCTAGCAGCCAGTGTAGATGCACAGCCTTTTTCACAACAATAACATCAACCAAATTTGCGTTGCCACATACCTGCTTTGAGGATTATACATTCCGAACGCTATCGGAAGCTGTGCATGGGACCGCGCCACGCCGAACTTCCTTCTGTATTTTTTGGCTACATCTTCTGTTGACAATGGGAGCGGAGGGGTTTGCAGATTTACAAGGCTCCTTTTTGCAGGAGCAGAAACAAGAATCATGGCTGGCCAGCTAGGCCGCAAATGGATTTTGTATATAACAGCAACAGTCTATTGATATAAAATACTTTACGTAGGCTTGGCGCAGCATATAAAAAGTGGTGCTAAGAAGCCAGTGCTTTAATTACACGGTTATCGTTTATTTTTGTTGTGTTTTTTGGACCCACAACACATGCTACTGAGCCCGCTAGCTTCACAACCTTGAGTGGTTGACGTCTTGCCTTCGTAGTTAGCTCCTTTAAACAGCTAACGATAGCTAGCATCGCTTGGCCAGCCATCCTCTGTCTAAAACATTTGGAAAAAGAACTTTATTGCAGGATTTGCTCTCATAGCTGTGGACCCAGAAGGCATTTGTATCGCAAATTCCTTGTGCGGAGTCTGCTCCTGGATGAATGTGGGACAAAATGGAGACCCCGACGATTGTGTACGATTTGGATACCTCTGGGGGCTTAATGGAGGTGAGGTTGCTCTGCTCTTAGGCCTTCATTACGTGAAATATTCCCTTATTGCTAATGCTTTTATTTTATTTTCAATTGGATTAATTGCCGTCATCTTCAGACCACCAAAGCCCGTTGTCAAGGATCTCTCGGTTAGCTAACTTAACTAATAGTTTGGGTTGATAATGGAGGCCACAAGTTAACGTTACCGCTCTCCCCAAGCTTAGCATTGAATGGCATAGCGGGCTCAAAGCTGTATATTTTCCAAATCTGTCAACTAAATATCAGCCAGGGCCTCATATTAAACAGCTCAAAATATTTTATAGCAAATCCAAACACTGCTGGCGCCCCCGAAGTCCGAGGAGGTGGAGAAGAGGAGTCGGAAGTTGGTGAGAGACGTCCGGAGGAGCGGCAGGGCCACCAACCACGACACCTGCGATAGCTGCCGGGAGGGGGGAGACCTGCTCTGCTGTGACCACTGTCCTGCAGCCTTCCATCTCCAGTGCTGGTAAGTTAGTTACTTTAAGACACATGGGCAAGTAATGTTCAGTGCATACTAAGTGTAGAACAGACAAGGGACTGCTACTTTTGAGTCTGCGTTAGCTGCGTAAATTAGATGCTGAATGCTAACTTCGGTGAGGGTTGTTCCCCCGATGAAGTTATTTTTGCTGGTCTTGGTGCTGCACAGATAAGCATGTGATATTTTACTGGAAGTAGGTCTATGTGAATTAAATTCTGCCCCTGATAGCGTTGAACGAACCCCGGTGATGGGAATAAAGATATTTTAGCAGTCCTTAATGTTGCTATTTCACAAAGCCACCGTTAATTCAGTTAAAATTCCACTGCAAGCATCGGTGGATCCCATCATATTCACGCTTAATACAACTGAACTGAGGTGGGCGGTAGTGAGCCTTGTGTGAAGTTGATATTCCTCATCACAAGCAAACATCAATACGTATTTTTCTGAAGACGTTTTAAACGTGAGGGTTATTGAATACAGTTTGGTGAGCAAATGGAACAGCTAATTTGATATATGTCGGTGTCGAGTAACTTAAAAGTAGCTAACCGTGATGTTTTCTCTCATTTTGGAGAATAGGCCTATGTGCTGTGAGATACGGCTGGTCGTATAATTAAGAGCGTTTACAGAGAGCGTCATTTAATTAATTGCTGTCGCTTAAATGGTATGTTAATAAGATGTACAGGGGCTAAAAAGAAGTGTCAGTGTAGCCTTGTGTGAAAGTGGCTAGAATTAGCTTGCAGTCGGTCCTCCCCTCCTGTCGCGGCTGCAGCCACTGGAGCCGCTGCTGCTAAAAATGGAGTCGAGGCTGCCTCTGTTTACAATATGGCGACCTCACTGCTCTCTTTTTCTATTCCACCGCCATCTTACCAACCTTTAAAATTCAGCTTTGAGGACAAAAAGCCGTTCATAAACAACATGGAAGAAATGTTTTGTCATTTGCTGAGATGGAGTGGCGGCATGACGGTGTTTGTTGTGAACATGTTCCGAAGGTCGTCCCATTGTAGCGTTTCTCCGGTGCCGCTTTGCATGGCTCTCGGTTGAACATCTGCTTGCATGATTATTTTAACTTAAGCGTTTGGAAAAGTTGCGTTCAGACTGTCACTTGGAAACGACCAAACACAAACGTTTTATCCATATATGGTCAGGCCTGTGAATGGCTTCATCTTGGTACACTGACGTGATGCATTAGTGTGTCTTATATTAAAGTTATCCTTTAATATCATCTGTGCTTGTGAATGGGAGACTTTAGGCTGTAGATTATAGTCCTGGCTTTAGGTGTGTCCCGCCCGTTATAAATCCATCATGTTATTGCCCCCCCCCCCTTTTTTTATCAGTCACTTGGCACATGGGCGTTTTTACTATGACAGCATTTTATTTATTTAAAAAAATCATTTGTCGTCTGAGCATGTTTTCCTTTAAATAATGGTGAAAATTTCTATGGTCATTTAAATTAAGAATGTATTATTATTATTGTTGTGTATAGTTAATTGGAATATTTTCAATCTTTTCTCATGGATAATTCATGTTTCAGCTGTAATCAAATTTGAAAATTGAGATTACACATCATTGTCAGGCCTTTCTTTATTGTAATACAAATATCAGTCCACTGGATGGAGGCAGAGGGGGTTACTACTGTGGTGACAGGGTTTATGCTGTAGTTGTGTAATTGAATCTAATAAAAATCATTATATGCTTTCAGCAACACTGGAGTCTTGGATAACTAGGTGGGGAATGTGGTTTTAACCAATAAGAAAATTAATGTAATTTGTCTTGTATGTAAAACCATGATAAAGTTTTTAATCAGCATTTTCTTTCTCACATGAAGTTAGAAAACACAATTGAAGCATAATTGTGTGACTGCATAGATGGAAGTTAAATGATGTTTATTCATTTGCCTGAAGTAATTACCAACCTGGTCACAGAGGATTGTGTTTTATCTTCTTATCATAGCAACCCACCTCTAAGTGAAGAAATGCTTCCCCCAGGGGAATGGATGTGTCACCGCTGCAATGTTCGAAAAAAGGTGAGCAGCAAGCCCTCTCTATTACACACCCAGTCCTCCACTAGTGTTATAGTTAAGCTGTTGTTTGTATGCTATGTGGACTGAAATCTGTTTTCTGGTCGTTCGCTGTCGTCAGAAGCGAGAGCAGAAGTCAGAACAGACCAACGGCCTACTGGAGAGATCCTCGTCTAAGCGCTCTGCGTCCCCGGCCGTGGAGCTGGAGCTCAATGCTGGCCCCCTGCGGCTCGACGGCCTGCCTCCAGGGGCCGGAGCGGCAGGGCCCGGACTACGAGTGGCTCAGGTGCGGCTACTGGATCGCAGGACCAGCAGCCGGCCAAGCAGCAGGCCTGGGACGCCCACCTCCAACACTTCATCCACCCCAACACCCTCAGAGGAGCAGAACGATGGGGAGGAGGAAGCAGCAGAGCCCGAGGATGAAGTTCAGGGCGCAGAGCTGGAGGGTGCTACATTATCTGTTCCGACACCACGCCTCCTCAAAAGACCCTTTCAGCTCCTTATAGCAGCTGCTATGGAGAGAAACCCTACGCAGTTCCAGCTACCCAGTGAACTCACCTGCACCACTGCACTGCCAGGTCAGTAAGCCATTATGATTTCCTAAACTTTCATTGTGAAATGAGCCTGTATTTCAACTAGTATTCAATTGTAAAGGTGAAGAAAAATATGTAACATACTTCATGGTTGGGTGAAGGTTGGCTTTTCACAAAGACCATAGTCCGTGTTGTTTTTTGGTGTATTTCTATATACTGCTATGGATAGAAACCGAATATAGATGACATATGGAGATATCCTGTTTAATCTCATCTGTAACTGAGTTAGATATTTAAAACATGTTCAGGTATCTCAAACATCGTAGTAAATATTCAGTTTTGTTGAACAGGTGAAATTTCAAACTTCTGTGGCCTGGTAACCTATTTTATGTCCCAAATTATTAATGACTCCAATAGTTCAAGAGCTGCCAAGTTGTCCTGTGAGTCTGGCATACTTTTTGTTTTTTTATTTTTAAGAGCATAAAACCTTTTGTTTTTTTTCTCAAATGTTTCCATCTCGTTTGGATTTGTAGGCAGCAGTAAACGGAGAAGAAAAGAGGAGCTACTAGGAAAGCCATTCAGGAGGCCTCAGCATGAACTGGATTCCAATGGTCTGGTCCCTCTACCAGTCAAAGTCTGCTTTTCATGCAGCCGGTTAGTACTACCAGATTACAGTATATTCAGAAATGTACACAGATCTGAAAACGTTTCACACCTTGTACTGAGTTCCTACTGTGTCCCCTCACAGGAGTTGCAGGTTGGCTCCACTGATCCAGTGTGACTATTGTCCCCTTTTGTTCCACATGGACTGTCTGGACCCTCCACTCACCGCTTTACCTGCTGGCAAATGGATGTGTCCAAACCACGTTGAGCACCTAGTGGTAAGAGTCATGGCCTTGGCTCAAAGTAAAACTAGCTTTTTTCTTCCCATGATTTTTTTAAGTTTGTCTCAGCCATAATGGTGCAGCAGAATGATTTGTTTTCTGTGTTAAATGTTTGTCTGATGTCCAGCTGAATCAGAGGAGTCTGAGCCTGTCCAGCCGTTGTCAGCTCTTTGACCAGTTCCAGGACAGGATGTCCCAGCACGCTGTCAAGTTGGACTTCCTGCGT